GCTTGGTCGAAACTGTTTCGGGTAGACACGAGGTGGGCGTATGGTAATACTAAGTTCAGGGTGCACCACACTACCGCAAACAATTGGGATTGTAAATTCATGTTTCCCTGTATGTGTGATTGCGACAATAGGAGTTGATCCATCCCTCGGATATGGTCATGCCTAGGCCAGGTAGTGAGGCCGTTAAATCTGTCCTTTGTACGGAGTATTGTACCGGCAACCATATACGTATTCAGCGTAACGCATACCAAATATCATGGTCAAGAACCTAATCCGATCAGGAGACAGGTTTTCTCTTTTCCTTTTTAATTTATTGAATTCCCCCCCAAGCGTGCTTATTTTTCTAGGCAGAATGAGAGAGAGGCAAGACAGTAGATTTCGCTGGTGCAGCAACCTTTGCAGGTCCACACGGGGAAGGAAGATAGAACATTCCGCGGCCCCTGGTGGTCAGGCTAAAACCAATCTTCCTAATTCCCGGGAATCCCTAATACGTGGTTTGTCGTCAGTCTGGGACTTTAGTACTGTATAAGTAAACCTTGGACTCTTAAAGCAGTCTTGTTATCTCTCATGGTGGTCTCAAAATATGAAAATGACCGCAGGACCTTGCGACAACGTATGTATAGTTCACACCTGCATGTAGCCATTTCTTCGATTTTTTTTTATTCGTCTTATTTCTATCCCCGTTTACTCTTTCTTTTGCTTTTCGATTGCCAATTGCTGACATTGCCATCGGCATGTGAAATCGAAACAAAAACCGCCCCATCTGGGCTTAGCGAGAAATTTGTTCGACAAGGAAAGTTCCATGATAATTACCTATAGTGGGGTCCATCTAACCCCTATTGTGTCATTAGGAATTCTCCTAGGGAGTTAGCGGTGCTATATGCAGTATGTACTCCGTACCAATGGATTGGAATTCTGGAATGTTACACTGTAGTAATAAGCGAAATGACGACGACGAAATTTTCTTTTTCTTTTCTTTCTTTCTTTACCCCCTCCCCCTCGATCCCTGCTCCTGCACACCCTACCGGAGAATCCGTCCGATAACCAGTGCCGGGCCGGTCCATCGCTGGCCAAATAAGGTTCCACGAGACTAACAGGGATTAATCATCTCATCGCTTTAGTTACTGAAACATTTTCGCCAGCCGGCAGACAGGCGTAGTTAGTCATCATATCACCATCGTTCCCCTAGGGAGGGGAATACTTAAGCCGTAGGCAGCATGAACGTAGAATTTCAGAACCTGTAGATCTTGTTGTCACGCTGTCTATTGTTTCTCTCCAATGTCGGCGTAGTACCCAATTGCCACCCCCTGCTTCTGTTCTTCATTTTGCATCACACCAACAACACTTTGTCGATAAACAGCCGGACTGGGGAGCCCAGGGAAGAAAAACAGCGAGGGAAAGTTACAGAATCGGAATGGAAAACCCTATTCTGTACTCCGTAGCTTGGTCGGGTTTCCTCTCTGTTGCCTTTGGATTTTATTTTTATTCCTTTGATTTTTATTTTATTTTTATTTTTCACTTTTTGTTTTTGTTTTTTTACGGTTGGCCATAGTGGAGCCAATAACGGGCCATATCCAGGCAGAGAGTTAGCTCTCCAACACAATGGTAGCTACACAAACAAGGCATAGACCTTCCTCCACAGCACTGCAACGATCATCTGGGTGGAAAGTATCTGACACTGACTAGAAAATCTCAAGTCACTATTACATTTGATTCCTGTTAGGCACTATCCACTAATTTCTAGAGTCTGAGGCCACAGTTTCAGTGATCAGCGTAACTGGAAATCAGTTTTCTTGCCGCACTGACAGGATTCCGGGCTAGCTTTGTTTCCTAAAACCTGCAAACTACGTGGATGGATATACGAAAGTCGATGCCAATGGCCCCTAAGGTGGGTAGATGAGCGTCCACACGCGATGCCAATACAACTAGAAACTTAAGATACGTGAGGAGGTATCTATTTTGTGCGCTTGTGCTTGTGCTTGTGCTATGCGACGTTGGTTGCCCGCCGGTTGGACTCGGGGAGCAAGCCAAGCTGTGACATTACTTTAATCAATGATATTTCCATTTTTGAAGGCCGAAGATAAAACTATCTATAAGGCGGTAGCTAGTAACTGGTCCGACGAAGGACAGAGTAGCTGGGACCCGCCTGGGGGTTCAGGGAGACAAGAACCTCGGTAGGACTCCATATATTTTTTAGCTTAAAAGAGAAATGGGAAGGAGAGGCGAGAAATGCGGACAAGCAGACTAAAGTGGTAAAGCCCGCGGGATTAAGGCATCATTGTACCCAGGAAACTGGACAACAAGCTTGGTGAGAACTTGAGGATTTCGATTTTGTACATCCTACCCATCTGTGGATAGCACGGAGCAGTCCTCGGAGTACCAGCAAGACTAACCAGATCTGGGCAAAGTGCATTCCATCCACAACACACCAATTGGGCTTTTATTTTTATTTTTATATATATTTATTTTATTTTTTACCTTGGTTACAATTATAACATACATAGTACATACGCTGGTATCCACAGTAATCTCCCGCCCCATTTTCCACGTGGGTAGCTAAGACTACAGTGGTCCGGAAACGTGCAAGTAGATATCTGTCTGAGCTACTCCGTGCTAGCTTTTAATAGTCGTCTTGTCCTAATTAAACTGACTCGAAACGATATGTTGATTTGGTATCTGTAATGGCTTCTAGACACTACTGGAATGCACACTAACGACCTAATACGTCTAGTTATACATAAATATCGAAGCATATTTCGTAATTACTAGCTCCTTATATCAATACATCCGGTACACTGGAGCAACAATTATGCATTGTAATCTGCAGGGTGCTCTATAGTCAACATGATCCAAGAATGAAGACAAGATGCACTTTCCAGTCACCTTTTGTCAGGGGGCGTTCCGCTACGTTGGGTAAACTGCTACCTAGTGCAAGATTTTCGAATCTCAGTGGAGCGTTTACTACCATAGTACTTCGGCGTGTGGCTGCAACAATTTGCACTACCAGACCGTAGAAGGTATGTACGTGCGTGCAGGGAGTCAGGGACTTGAGATATAGGTGGCTAGCCTAATGTGCGTGACTGGCAGCTGACCTTGCAGAACGACGAATGGACCGTCCTGGGTGGATAATAATAGCCTGTATGTATCTAGTCGTTTTGGAGCCTCTCACATTGCATAGGAGACAATTAGGAGTTGCGTCTCCCTAAATTTATCACGCAGCACTGCCTCCCTACTAGCTTTGAATCACGATATGTAACAAACGTCATTAATGGCGCCGAGCCTGTGTCATGTCAAGCTGCAACCTCGATCGTCGAGTCGAGACCCGGGTAAGCTTCGTCGGATCCGATGTGCGTTGGAGACCATACTGTGTATCCACTAAAGAATGCAGGTGTGTTTATTTTAGAGTATGTGACGTTTTTACCGCTAATCTGGGACTGGGGTACCTATGTCTGTATGCGACAATAGTATCAATAAGTCATTGAATTAAATTGCTCGGGATTATTTTCCGCACCGACCACTAATAGATGGAATGATAGCAGTACGTATACCCAGCGTTATGGCTTGGGCTAAGGTCCATGAGATCATCCTCTTGGTGCCCAACATCCGAGACGTTGGGAGCATAGTCACCCCGCCCTAGTTCTAACTCAGTATTAGGCACGAACTACAACGTTTACCATCATCGTGAAGACCACCTAAGTCATGTCGTATTATTTCGGTACTATAGGCGGTCGAGGAAGTCGAATATGCGGGGCCATATATATCCTGGTGGAGGACGGGCCATGGTTGCATATCAGTCTGCCAACCCTCCCTCACATAATCTCTAGAACTGTCGCATTATCAAGTCTTGAAACGCCGCCTTGTGTTGAAACTGCACTATTGATCCTCCAGTGGCAAGATATCTGGTGATGGACCAACCGGGATAATCAACTGCGAGCTGCCCGTCCGTTTGCCAATTGCCTTCAGGTAGCCAAATTTGTACTGCAGACTAGAATTAGTGATTGGCCCAAGTCAGCTGAATCTCAAAAAAGCCCGCTTACAATGTCAAAATATGTCGTCTTCTTAAAGGCACCCCCCCTTGTCCGGTTGGACTCGTCGAAGTACAACCGACGATACCAATTATGGATTCGTGGATAATCATGCCGTATCATCTTGAGGTTACATCTGAAGATTAGATAGTACGCCACATCAAACCGGGCAATGGTTGTGTACAGGCGAATATCGGCCTCGGTTATGTTTTCGCCAAACAGATATGGCTGGTGTCCTGGCTGTGCTAGGTGGTTTTCAATACGATCTAGCGCCTCAAACAACGGGTAGATATTCTCCTCGTAAGCTTCCTGTGTTGTTGCGAACCCCGTCTTGTATACTCCGTTGTTGATCTGATGGTACACCCATTCATTCATCTCATCAATATCTTTTCTCAAAGGCTGGGGATAGAATCCTCCACCCGGCCTGTTGATTTCACGCAACTCATCTGGAAGGAGATGGTCAAATTCGCTATAGAACATACGAATAATCTCGCTGCTCTCATTATTCACTATTGTACCTTGTTTCTTATCCCATAGGACCGGGATGGTGTATCGCCCGTCGTACGTCGGATTTGCTTTGAAATATAGCTGTCTCAGCTGCGTGAATCCGTAGAGAGGATCCTTCTCTGCTGAACCCCACCGACCTGAGAAGAACCAACCATCGGGCCCCAGCTCAGGGTCCAAAACCACTAGCTGGATTATCTCCTCGAGGCCTTTAAGTGATCGAACGATGTTAGTCCGATGCGCCCATGGACAGCCGTACCCTAAGTATAAGACATAGCGGTCTTTTTCGGCAGGGAATTCAGCCGCAGAATCATTGGACACGGATGAGCGAAAGACCGAAGCTTTACGCCGGAAGTGTCCATCAGCGTCGGCGTGACGGTAGACTTTGTGTTCCTGAATGCCTTGCTTAGTACGGAGATGACAGTGTCATGAGATAGATACCTTACATACCTGCTCTGTCATGGCGCTCCCCTTTTTCGAAGTTATACTTTAGTGAACACGTAAAATGACAGCAAAGAGGCAGTTTAAATGTGTCGGCTTTTGGGCGAATCTGACTTTTACAATGATTTGAATTTGTAATCATTGAGCTGACAAATTGAAGTGCTTATGTTGCAATCAATGGATTTACCCGCTGCGTCATCATGAGGGGTAAACGATTGCATTTCATCAAGTGACGTATAATATAGGTTTAGAATTGACCATCAACTGAAAAGAACCAACTAGCCCAGTAAACTCATAGCGTCATTCCCTATCTTCTCTATAGTTGAATATGTATAGTACCGTGGCTTCATTGCGTCAAGGATCGCACATTTGAGGTTTCAGATAGTCTCGTCCTGCTCTGTTCCTAAATAAATATATGTCATCCGTTCATAACTTAATCGCCACTTGAATGCCAAGTCGCCGTGCGATCTCGACGAAACCACCTGTGTTCAGCTCGATCCAAAGATCCACAAATCCGTCTTGCTTTGCCTGAGCTATATCCTCCGTCTCTTCTTTAGGCCGTGCAACGTATATTGTCTGAAAACCTTGTGCTTTGGCGGCCTTCAGGTCTGAAAGATGGGCTGCCACCAGGGCGCAGTGACTGGGGTCCAAGTCGAAGCGGGCGGCTGCCCCACGATACACCTCAGGCGAGGGTTTGTACGCCCCAAAATTCTCTGCACTGGCTATATCCGTAAAAGGCAAGGAGCCATATCGCCGAAGGTCTTCTAGCAGAGAGACGTTGCCGTTCGACAAGGTGCACGTGCGGAACCTTCGGCTTAACAGTTCCAGGCCTCGCACACTGTCAGGCCACGGAACAAGACGGTGCCAGCAGAGCGACAAATCCCATTTCTCACTGTCAGTGAAGACATTCTCGATTTTCCGTTGCTGAAGTAGCTTGGATAGAGCAGTGTAATGGTGCTGATCAACCGAAACGAAGCCTTGGGAAGGGTCAAACGAGGCAGTAAACTGTCCATAGGACTGTCGCCAATCTTCCGCAATTGAGAGCCAATCTGTAAAAGTCATCTGTGAGACCCGTGCGCGTTCATCCGGAGGAATAGGCTTGCGGGGAGCATGAAGGACGCGCTCAGCGGCGTCTTGCAACTCTCTCGTGACGGACGGGCACCATTCAACAACGGTTCCGAATACGTCGAAGAACAGGACCTTGGGAAGTATATTGATTGGCATACTGTGTGAGCTCCTACCTTTTACAGCATACATATAATTACCTAACTTTAGGGCATTGATGCCAAGGGGTTGAGGGAATGTAAAGTGTTTCACCAGCCTAGTATGAAATGCAAGGTAGTACTTACATACTAGTACTCTGTACTATGTATAGAGTACATACATACGTATCATCAACAATAAGGAACGTCATGCGCGTTCAATGTTAATGTTCACGTCATTGTTCCTTCCAACTGACGTGTTGCTTAGTCAGGGGTCAGGATGAGAACACCCATGTCTTAGCTGCTCATGGAGAGAAATGCATGATCCCATGATGAAATGCGAACTCCGCCACAATGCTGTCCATCGCGAAGCGAAATAATTCACGGATTCGCATGTGATAGGGTAATTCCGACGTGGACAATCTCATAGCCTGTAAGAGGAAAACGAAGGTTCTATTGCTAACTCCAGAAACTATGGGCGATCAACAGATTCATCACATTATTATCACTTGTTCGCTGCTTCGGATTGATTATGTGACTAGTATGCAATGTCGGCAAATGGAGGGCAATGCATGTCTTTATTGTTAGCTGACGAGTGACGACGACGTAACTGGGTCCCATCCGCGTTGACAGCTGCAAGCTGGTTGATCCTCAACGGCGCAATCCTGGCCTCTTCGACTACGTAGTAGTATTTTGGATTTGGATATGCATGAAGATATCTGTAATTCCTATTACACAAGGCGTTCGAAGAAGATCTGGGGACTTCGGCAATGGAAATCTCCCACTTCAGGGCCAAAAAAGAGAAAAAAAAAAAGTCTAATTCCAACGGGGTGGTTTCCCTCCTCTTTCTTTCACTTCGGGTCTTTTTTTATTCTCTTTTTTTCTTTTCTTTTATTTCGTCTCCCGCCCGTAATACCTGTACGTAGTTTGATATATCAGTTGAACAAAGGCGCCAGCAGCCTTGTCGAGTCTCGACCGTCAAGGGCTAATAAATACATTAATATCAATATTAATATTACTTTATTGTACAATGACCTGTCAATTTTTGCCCCTGAACTAAAGACAGAAGTATGTCTTGCCGTGTGGGTCGCTCGATGAATCCCGGTCGCGAATCAGGAAAAGTGTTATCGCTCTAGTCCAGTAGGCAAGACCTATTTTTTTTTTTTTTTCCCTCACGTTCCTTTTCGGTGTTGGGGGGGGGGGGGGTAGCACACGTTCCAATTTCCAACTAGGTAAGTACTATCTATACGAAAGTCGGGTAGGTAAAGTTCGAACGGTGGGAGAACTAACGGAGAAGGTACCCAATTGTGATGAATAGCTATCGATTATAGGTCGCTGCCTCAGGGTTGGATATCTCCTCAAATTAGACCATGCCAGTCCCGAGGCCAGTCACAAGCTGGTATCTACTTGTACTAGGTTACTGTTCGGAGATGATCTTTACGGAGTATACCCTTGGGTAGCACTTCCCTTTCTTTTTCCTAGTAACAGTACATTGCAGTAGCCATTATATGTGTTTATATAATTTTCTGTCATATATCTGATCCCGAAGATTACGGAGTAGCGACAGAATGACCAGTGGCCAATCTTTCGCAGCAAGGGTCACCAGCTCCGATCTAATTTCCGAAATGGGGAAACCACCCAGGAAAACTCGGCGCCGAACACTGGAAGAAGTGGAGAGCTGAGCTCGTAGGACCCAAGGATCCTGTACGGGTGCTTCCTTTGTAAGTTTGTGTCCACTGTTCCCAAAAGAGGTGGATAAAAACATCGGACGTGTTTCCGCATCCCAATGGCAAATTCTCTGATAATAGATGATTGAGCCGAGCATCTCTAATCCTGACGATCTATTTACACGTTACAATATGTACTAAATATCTGTCGAGGTCTCCGGTATTCATGGGATTGATATATAGTCAAAGCAAGGACTTACTCCCGTGCCTCAGTTCTAATTATAACAAATGCCCTACGTGACGGTTGAATTAAGAGAGGCTGAAACACGGACCATGGGCTCTGGGGGAAATTGCAATTGACGATCGCTTGATAGGCAACAGAGCTAACGATTTGCCTTCCCCAGAGACATCGTATGATTCCATCGGAAGAAAAATAAGAACAGAGGGGGGGAGGGAAGGAAAGGAAAGGAGACAGAGAAAGAAAGAACCAAAAGAAAAAGTCAGTGTAGATAAGTGACTGGAGAAATAGGGTTGATAGAATTAGTAGTTAAATACATCCTTAGGTTGTTACGAAGCAATTGCAACAATCAACGCTTGAGAATAAGTAATATCATGAAATCGAATAACATGACATTTGACCAAAATCACCAATAATCTTTCTTGTTCAATCCAATTACTTTACCGGCAACCACAAGGGAGAAGAACGAGAAACAAAAAACAAGAAAAAAAAAATTCATTATCATCCTCAAATTGTGGAACCCTTTCAAAACTAGCCCGAAAATCAAAAGGTTGACATGAACCTCCCCTGAGAAGCAATCAACTTTCAATGGATCTCCTTTACCCGGTCCACTGAACTAGTCAAAGGACTAAGTAGTCCAATGGACACGACTTTGCTTTTGCTCCGTACAATTAAATTAACACAATTGGACGATCACTGGACTAACCGCTCCTTCGTCCCCTTTCCACTGGCTGGAGTGTGTCCCCTTTTCCTTTTTCGTTTTCTTTTTTATTTTTTTCCTCCCACCAAAAGCTGGCCAGCCAAGCGGGTGACTTCTACCCTGTTTCACATTTTTCTGCCCTCCTTCTTTTCCTTTGGCCCAGTACTAGTACTAGGAGGACGATTGGCCTGTCCAGTCTTTGCTTGAATACGATGGTTTCTTGCCGGTTACTGCAGGGATTACGAGTATCCATCACTCTCGCATCCACATCCGATTACGCGCGCTCTGATTCGTCTTCTTTCACTATCCCGCTTTTTATGCCCGGGAGTTTTATTTTGTACTACTTACTACCTTTTACTATTAGTGTACGGAGTACATGCTCTCACTGGCAGCTCAAGTGGGGACGTTCTTTTGATCCTCCTCACTAATCGGGAGCGTCGACTTAGTTCCCCATCCCCCCTAACGAACACCCCTGGAAGAGCTAACGCTTTAGCATCTTAGCCACGGCTTGTCCTCACGTCGTGCACATCCCGATGCTCGGACAAGTTCTTTGGTCGCAGCCCGCAAGGCTCAGTAGCTCTTGATCGGCTTTGATCTAACGGGTCTCCTCATACAATGTAGGCCGTGTCCCCTTCCTCCTCAGATCTTTCTGTCTAGGGATCGATGAGACCTTGGTGGACGTCAGTCTTGCTCGCTGACTCCGCCTTCGTTTTTGCTGTCTCTGAACGCGATCTACGATTCTTCCTCCTCCACCTCCCCGCATCGGCGAGCCATTTCAATTCCCTTGTACCTCTTCCCCCTTTACTGGGTGGCTAAGCAAAGCTCGTGAAGCGCGGTAATTCAAGCTCTCGGGGTCTTCCATTTGCCTCTCTTTCTTTTTGCCCTTTTCTTTTTCTTCTTTTTTTTTTTTGTCCTCCCTGGCCCCAAGCGGAGTCTGAAAGCGTGTGCAAAGCCATCTCCGTGCTTGAGGGAGGGTAGCAATTGGATCTAAATGTAGGTGGGAAGTCTACTGCCTGTGTGCCTTTCCTCCCAACCGCGTTCATCTCGACTCATGTGTGCAAATAGCTGACGCAGCTCATTGCGGCGAACCAGAATTCCCGTGAAGATCTCATCAGCAACTATAGCTGCTGGACAGCATCTATATCGCCTTTCGTCTTGTTTCCTACCTACCTGCAGCATCCGGAAAGTCAAATGGACCCCGCATAGCGCAGTGCTTCAATGGTATAAGGTGTGCGCGCCCGGTTGCTGTTGTACTTCAAGTTTCTCGAGTTCATGGTTGTCTTGAAGTCTTGGTTGTCTATTATCAAGTGATGGCAACAGAGACTGTCTCACAAGTTTCCCCTGCAGAGGTGTTTCCAACGCCCTCTACTACGCCTCGGAGAGGTTCCTCTATGCATTCCCGGGGAGATTCCTCTCCTGGCCCATCATCGTCGCCACCATCTCCATCAAACCAGAGTTTCTTCCTCGATGGACGCCGTGACTTTCAAGATGTCACATACGAGGACACCTTATCGCCGCTAGATCCCAGGAGGTTTACCCCAACACTACATGCTTCACTTGTTTCGGAGATTTTGTCGTTAAGGCGGGACGTGGAGAGTAAAACAAAAGCCATTGATGTCTTAGAGCGAACCCTGGATGAATCGCGCATAGAGGCTGAGGATCTCAGTGAGCGTTTATCACAGAGTACCAAGGAGACGCGGTCTCTCAAGCATCAGTTACAGCTTGTGGAAGGGGGTACATCCTCAGCTCTTACGGAGCTCGCGAGGGAGAGGGATGAAACGCTAGAGAATATCTCAGATGTGCGAAAGAAACTGGACCAGGCACAAAAGAAAGCCCGCAGTCGGGAAGATGAGGTCGATAAGACATTGAAGCTTTGGGACCGCGATAAGGAACTCTGGGACGGTGAGCGTAGAAACCTGGAACGCAAGATCCATGTTGTTGAGGGTCGTCTCAAGGCGGTCTTGACCGAAGTGGCAGCGTTCCAAGCAGCTGGGAATTTTCATCAGATACAGAACCCCGATGGGGCTGGTTTGGCTAAAGACGAAGCTATGGGGAAGGATAGTGATACTGCGAGCGCCCACTCGAGCAGTCAAGGGAGACGGCGGACCAGTGTCACAAGCGTAAGCACTGACGGGAGTGATCTGCATGATCTTAGGTACTCTGTGGCAAGTGCTGTCAATATACCAGGTGCGAAACACGACGGCATAAACCTTGCGCAAGAACTGGCATTCGACGAGGAAGACGAGTTTGAACTGCCCGACGATGATTTTACCCCTTATTCACCTGAGGCACTCCCGGAAGAACGCCCAACGTCAGTCCACTCACAGTTGTCCCACACAATGGAAATGGGGGCAAAGGCAAGGAAGATCCTGGGCCTCTCTCTCCATAGTGTAGAAAGCTGTGGAATCAAGTCGGAACCTAGTAGTCCCTGGAAACCACCTCCAACAGCAACAACGACAGCGAGCTATTGCTATCAAGATGCTGGAATTCAATATTCCCCCCCTCCGTCCCCGAAGTTGAAACTAGAGACTGGGACCGTGACCTGTGATAAAGATGCTGAAGGCCGCGACGCCTCTGTCTTGTACCAGACGAAAGACAGCAGCACGTGGATGGTCCCAATAAATATGGTATCGACATCTTCTCAAACTGTCGGTGATTTGCCCACACCTCCTTGGACTCCTAAGCTTGGTGAATCATCGCCGCTGTCGAAGGCCCCTGATCAGGCTACCATGGTCTGTACAGCCATTCAGACAGAACAACTTACTGCTCCTGAAACCCACGATAAACGTGCCAATCTTTCCCATAACTGTCCGAGTTCCTCAGATATCGAAGTCCCAATGATTGCAATTCATCCACCATGCTCTGAGCCTTCTTCGCCTCGAGGGAGCGTGGTTCTGCCACCACAAACTAAGAATGCTTCTTGCCAAACCGACTTGAAAACTATTGTCGATAGCCGAACGGTTGGCATACAGACAGAGGAAATTCGAATTGACCAGCGGGCTGTCAAATTGCCTGCGAGCTTATTACCGTCTGCCATCCCAGATTTACCCCTTCGTACCAATCTCCAGGGTTTTCCGATCCAGCCGTATCACGCCCCACCTCCAAGAACGAGGAAAGAGGAGATACCACCACCTCCTCCTATCCCAGCCAAGGCACCAGCACGAAGCAAGCCTCATGAACACGTGCAAGCTTATCCCGGTAACAATGACAACGGTCCGTTATCTGATGAGTCAAAGACATATTTAAGACGGCCCCTGCGATCCAGTAGTCTCTTTGCCGGTTTTGACCAACCAAGTGATGAGGAAACGTCACTTAGGGTGAGAGATATTTTCACAGATGATGAGCTGCTAAACCGGCCGTTCGCTTCATATACACTGAGAAGAGGCAAACTGGTTTCCACTCAGGGATGTCCTAGCTTGGACGAGACCACCACGGAAATCGATGAGCACATACTAGAGGCAGAAGCACATTTATATGATGCAACAGCCGATCTTGAGATGAAAAATCCAAGCAGAGCTTCTCGAATAAGTCCACAAACAGGAGCAGTGCCCTTGTGGACACGCCAACAGGATATACGCAGAGCGGCGATGATATCCAACGGGGCAGCCGCACACCAGAGAATACGGAGCCCCAGCGAGCCAAGTCTGGACGGTAGTGCTAGTGGCGGCTCTAGTATAGCTCCCCCGTTCCCCGTCCCCATTCGACTCAGTTCGCGGAAATTCCCAGTTAAGGGCAACGATGGTCAGCAGAGTCCTACTCCTTCGAACCCCCGGAAATTTTCTGATCAAGGACGGCCGTCGATCACTCGGCAACCTACTTTGCGGCGAGTGCGGTCTGCTGCCGCAATGTCTCAAACAGAGCCTGACCGACCTGTAACCCGATCATCACCTACCATGTCAACATCTTCCTGCGCGGCGGATAGTCCCCAATATCCGTCTCTCCCATTCAACGATATCACTACTCCTCGGCGGATTAGGCGGGCAAGCCAAGGGCGATCCAATAATAGCGGCCACCCCACACGCGCGTTTTCCCACCACCGGGATGATTCCACGGCGACATCAGTCCAGCCAACTAGTGTTGTTGATGCTATTGCTCAAACGATGGTAGGAGAATGGATGTTCAAGTACGTTCGGAGGAGGAGATCTTTCGGCGGAGTTGGTGAAGCCAAGGACAACTGGGAAGGCCGGAATGCCGAGGAAGTGTCAGCGAACATCGCCAACAGTGGATCAAGGCACAAACGATGGGTTTGGCTGGCTCCGTATGAGCGAGCGGTTATGTGGAGTAGCAAGCAGCCAACAAGTGGACCAGCGTTACTTGGCAAGAGCGGCAGAAAATGTAGGGTACCCTTTCATAAGTTTTATGCCGGATGCCGCTAACTACGAGCAGTGACAATTCAATCTGTCCTTGACGTTAAAGACGACAACCCTTTACCTAAGGGATTCGACCCGCAAAATCAATTCAACCGATCCATCCTCATCCTTACCCCTGAACGAGCCCTCAAATTTACCGCTACCACCATCGAACGGCATTACGTTTGGCTAACTGCCCTGTCATTTTTGAGTCATTCTGCCATGGGCCTTCACGATCTCGCAGCTCTGCCGCCTGTACCGCAGGAAGAATTTGCATCTTCCGCGCCTACTGCGACTTTGCGTCGCAACCCGATCCGCGATTCTATAAGAATCGCCAAAGGCCGGCCAAGGCCAAGGCCGAGAGGGAAACGAGCATTCAAACACCCTGAGCCAGTTCCAGAGCTCCCAGCAGAAATGGATATGGCAGATGCCGCTGACCCACCCACAATTCCCCGGTTCTCCAGCCATTCGCGCAAGCGCAGCAATACGACTCCCCGGATCCCCATGATCCGCAGCTTTTCCAATCAGGGTACCGTGCCATTAATGCCTCCAACGCAAGGCGCGTTTGAAGCATATGCCCCACCCGCTACGAACAGTGGCCAGAGCATCATTAGTGGCCGTACCTCCGAGGCCAGCGTGAGAACTGGTAATTATTTCGATGCCATTGGTACCGTGCGCATGGAGGCGTTCATTGACCAGACCGAATCTAACCAATACCATGCGACACATCCAAGCCATGTGCGGAAACCTTCGAGTCCTTGGAGCTCGGAAAGCCAACAATTTTATGACCTTGATCACCCAAGGTATGACGATTGTGGATCTTTTCGCAGTGATGATCCCTTCGGAGGATTCTAACACATTGTAATCATAATGTTGTGGGCGTGGCATTATTCTCCAGGGAGATGCGTACCCCCTGATGGATCGCCAGGTTCGAGAATCAGCAACTGTATATCCTAGTGTGGCATCTGCACAGGTGCCCGCTACCGTTCATATTCGCACATTGATACCACTTTGGCTACATAATATTGGAAGGGGCATTGGTTGGGAGCTAGGCGTTAGAATCATCTAAAAACCATTGATATTTATTCTAGGATAATCAACACTCCGCGAATGCGTACATGACAAGGTAGTATTGTGCAACGTAGTGCTTGCAGCATAATCACGCCGGAATAGATGACCGGACCATGCAGAAAAAAAGTTAGGCGAAAAACATACTTCCCCTTCTATAAGACAAACACATATTCAAACATTCTCAATCACAGCTTTGCAGCCTCTTTCACTTCCCCAATCTTCAGCTTTGGCGTATACTTCTTCAACACACCCTCATTGTGATACTGTCCACAGTTAGCATCAATGAATGTTAATAGACTGAACGGAAATTGAAGAAAAAGAAATACGGGAAATGAGGAAGAGAGAGAGAGAGAGATTCATCATATATATGGCGACATAGTAGTGCGTCGGAACCCCCCCAAAAAAAAGAAAAGAAAAAAAAGAATGAAAAAATGGTATCCAGTGGTAGGGAAGTCAATATACCTTCCAAAACTGCTTGCTAGCATCTTTACCCGCGACACGCTTTAAGATTTTTGCACCCCCGGGGTGCTCATCCACGAACTTGGTCACATCGTACACATTCTTGTCGATGATGATATAAAGGCCTTTGTCGGCGTTGTTGTGGGAAGCGACGTCGGCAGGCGTGAAAGTCTGAGACATTTTTGCTTTTCTTTCTTTTTCCAAATTCCTTGATCACTTCTTCTGCCCTTGGGTTGAGTGGTGTTGTGGTGATGGTATTGTAAGTACTAGTACAGAGATAAATAGGTTCTTTTGAATCGGATGATTGATGATGATAATGAATAAATCCGGGGTCAAAAAGCGGAGAGATGACGATGGCCTGTCAACTCGGGCGAGTAGGAGCCGAGGTTAACCTCCCGTCCCCGTGCCGCGGTCAGTACTAGTCTTGAGAATTGAAATATCTGTGCCGTGATTGGTTCTTCGTGCCGTTACTACGACCTACACGAGCACTACAATGCCTATGGATAAGAATGTATTTGACAGGTATTACCATTCCAGTGTCATAATAAAGCATAACAATTTCGTCGTGCATATAGTTGCACCTATCTGGTGAGACGCTACAGATGATAGCCGAGGTATATCGCCATTCTTTCCATTCATGTAAGTACATACTCAATAATAATCATACCATCAAAACAGTTGTCAATAGTTGATAGAAATACATGCGGTGTCTGCTTAGTGGTGATGAGAGCAACAAACGCCAATAAATTACACTGCCAGCTACATGGCCCAGTATGAGAAAGAGTGGGAATATATATATTAGTCTCGACTCTTCTCGCCTGCCGCTCCCTGTCCTTTCATTTTCCGTTCGAGCCCCAATGTCTCCAAGTCTTTCTTCTTATAGTAGTGCGGCGCGACTTCCACTAACCACTCGGCCTGGAGTGGCATATTGCTCCGCATGTATTCTTTGCTCGTCAGAACGAGTTCGAAATAAATTACCCACCGGGGATTGACTTCAAACAGCGTACTTGACGGGTGCAAGTATACTGTTTGCCCATTCTTCACCGTCCGGTAACTATCGCCACCGCGCTGCAGGCGCGCTGCGTTCGGGAAGAACCCAGCCGTGATGGCTTTCTGAATCGGTTGCAGGTTGTTCGATCCACATGTACTGACAGTGACCTCGACTCGATCACACAGCTTCGCCAGTTGATCGCGTACATCGCGTGCCCGAGTCAAGCTGCGTTGCTGCAGGAAGTTTTCCTTCGCCCACACATAGCTGAAGTCGGAATCCACCCATTGATTCCAGATGTTGAGTAATGTCAGATGATCACCGCCATCCTTGATCGTAAACCGATTGCGTGCACTATCCGCATGTATCTTCTTGTCCTTGGGCCGGAAGAATAAAGCGCTGGCCTCCCCTAGCATTGACACAATGGAAAGTACCTCCTCTACACAACCATATTTGTCCGCCGCCAAGATCGCCTTGGCCAGCATGGGGTCTGTCGGAAACTCCGCCATTTGCCTTCCAACCTTTGTTAGTTCGCCTCTATCATTCAATGCACCTAAAGCATAAAGCTGCTCCAATGCTCTAATAATTGTCTCGGCCGGCGGAGGGTCCATAAAGTCGAAGTCGAGTAACTGATCAATCCCTAGTGACTTGAGCATCAGGATGACGCTACTGAGATTTGTACGCTGAATTTCAGGGGTTGTGCTCTCCTCCAACTCATTATAGTAAGCCCATTTCGTGTAGAGACGGAAACATTTCCCTGGACCAACTCGGCCGGCTCGACCGGCTCTCTGGTTGGCAGACGCCCGCGAGCATGGTGTTACTACCAAACTTTCCATTCCAGTTCGGGGATTGAAGACATTTTCCTTAACAAAACCTGGATCGATCACATAGACAATACCGTCAATAGTCAAACTAGTCTCGGCAATGTTCGTAGCGAGTACGACTTTCCGTGCCTTCGGCGGCGTCGGCTCAAAGATTTTGGTCTGTAACTCTGATGGTAGATTGGCATAGATAGGGCATATTATCATTTCTGGTATCTTGCTCCCCAATTTCCGCGCAGTCTCCTGCAGGCTCTGTTCAGCCGCCTCGATCTCCTCCTGGCCAGTTAAGAACACAAGGATATCTCCAGGGCCTTGTGTGACATGGATCTGAAAAACGGTTGTGATTGCTGCGGCTAGGTAGTTCGCCTCTGGCTGTGATGTATAGTGGATATCCACGGGATAACGTCGCCCTGGGATATTAAAGATAGGCGCGTCATCAAAGTATTGCTGGAACTTCTGTGCATCCATTGTTGCAGAGGAAATCAGCAGTTTCAGATCTGGCCGTGCCTTGGCAATATCCTTCAACAGACCACAGGCAATGTCCGTAGGCACAGTCCGCTCGTGCGCCTCGTCGATCATCAACGCTGAGTACTGGCCCAAGTCTGGCTCAGTTAGCAGTTCGCGTAACAGCATACCATCCGTCATATACTTGAGCACTGTTTTATCACTTGTGTTGTCTTCGAAACGAATGGCGTAACCGACCTCATTGCCCAACTTCACTCCCATTTCTTCGGCTACTCGAGACGCAACGCTCATGGCAGCGACTCGTCGAGGTTGCGTACAACCAACCTTCATCCCATTCTTTGTGAAACCGGCTTCATGAAGGTACTGCGGGATCTGGGTCGTTTTACCAGAACCTGTCTCGCCGACAATAATTAAAACTTGGTGATTATGGACTGCTTGGATGATCTCCTCCCGAAATTGATAAATGGGCAGACTTTTCCGCGTATCCTCTATCGATGCCGCCTTCTTCTCGGCAGCGTCGAGCTTTTCTTGAAAAATACGTTGCTCCTGGGACATAGCCTTCCGAGTCCCTTCCATCTTGGCATCCATGACGAAGTTGATCTTTTGCGAGTCGTCAAAAACATACTCGTAGTCACCTTCGTCCACGAACTCTGCCCTGTTGATTTGCGCCTTTGCCTTGGCCGTCTGCTCCATCTCCCACTCCTCATGCTCAGTAATAAACCGCTCTTGTCCATATTCGTCGCGATCCACATAACGTTTGTAAAGAGCATCTTCTTTCTTCCTTCGATCAATTTTTCCCTTCTCTGTAATGTAGTCATCTGGCATCATGTAGCCATCGCGGTAATCATCGATCCGTAGCCGCTCCTCAGCAATCCGAAGTACTTCACGATTTCTAGCAAACTCCTCTTTCTCTCTCCGTGTCAAATTGGGGTTATCACGCAACTCCGCCGCTTCTTCCGCAACCTGTCTGCGCAGGAGGGCTAGTCGTTCTGTCTCTCGCTTCTTGAGATACTCTTGCCGAGAGCGCATTCTCAGTTCTGGCATAGCGGCAGCTCTAGCGGAAGCATCGTCTGCTAAAGCCCGTCTTCGTGCGACCTCACTGTTTCTAGTCCGGTCTTCGACGATGTTCTTATTCTTGCTGTCATCCTTCTTGGCCAACCGCTTCGCGAACTCGTCTCGTTCTTCTATGTCCCGACGTCGCTCAATTTCCTTCTTCGTATCTGGGTCCAGGTCAGCAGAGTCGGTCGACCGGGGCGACGCAGATCCATCCTCCAGCCTAGTCCGCTTCGACGGCGACTCTTCAACAGCGCCACTTTGCTCATCTTCTTCATATACCTCATCATCCGGAATCTCTTCGTCGCCCCAGCGATCATCGAAATCCCCTTTATCTCGTCGTCGCAGCTTCTTGGACCGATGGCGATCCCGGCTCTCTTCCTGGCTCCGCCCACGCTTCCTGTTTTCTTCCTTTTCCCAGCGATTGTGCCCCCGGGGTTCCTCCTTGGTTCGGTTGTGATCCTTGTCCTTGCGTTTCCGCCTCTCCCTTTCTGTTTCGATGTTCGTGGGCCCTAAAGAGCTTGTAGAGTCTGGGTTGTCATCTTCCATTTGAATCAATCGGTACTTCTTTTTCGACGCGGTATCACTGCGCTCTTGCCGAGCACTGCTGCTGGGCCCGCTCTTTGTGCCCGCACCCACTCGTTTATACAGTTCCTCACAAAATGCATTAATATCTTCTGTGCTTCCATCCAAGAAAGGAACGAGCTTCTCTTGTAATGAATCCGCTGACTTGGCTGAGCTGGCAGTGGCGAGCACAAAGTCGACAACGGTGGGGTCCGAGGCATTGGTAAGGCGGAGGAGAGAATCCGACACGAATGTTCGATTGTCCATACCTAAAGTGGTGCAAATCCAGGATAGACGGTTGGCACTGTATCAATCAGCGATATGACCGCTGTTATGGGACTTGAACAAATGGCACAAGTGTATCTTTATTGTAACTCTCAGTGAAAGCTGCGCGTCATATCAGAATGTGCTTATAAATGCAAGAAAAATAGTGAGTATGGGTGAACTGAAAGGTAATAACACAAGGAATAAAGGAATCGACGTGACTGGTTCTAGAGTGTGGCCGGCCCTTAGGCGCGTAGATGTTGCGAAGAATCTCGCCGCCGAAGTCAACCGCCAAGAAGTCGGCTGGTGGCGAGCATAAACAATTGGGGAGCGTGCTTTCACATCCCCCCAAGTCTCATATAACATTATACTGTTCTATATCGACGTTCGCATCAAGTTTCAGGGGGGTGGGAATAAAATTAATAATTATTATTGTAGATCGTTGACTACCTATCAATTGGCGTCTAGAAGTGGTTTGCATTCAAGAGTATGAATCACAAGCATCACCTATTCTCAAGCCTGCTTGATCGCATATCGGTTGTTTCATGTCTCTTAACCTATATTGCTCATTCACAGAAGGGGGCGGAGGAAAAATTAATAAATAACAGTTGCTGAAAGGGATATGGAAACATAAATGTAGGGGAAAAGGTAATCATTATCAACGCCCCAAGCCGTGAAGAGAACAAGAGTCGAATCATCAAAACAAAGGGAAAATATAAATCACATATTACACACGGCCAACCTGACTTCCTACTATGCCAGGCTGCGGGAATCCAATCATACAGACATGGGAAGGGCCTCAAAAAGTTGAAAAAAGAAAAAGAATCTCGAACGCTCAAATCAGGGTAATAACATAGGAAATATCATGAGGAAATGAGTGTGAAACCCTTCAAAACCGTTATTGGTCATATCAAGTCAGTGAAATCGTGAAGGGTGGTCGGCTAGAGTCAAAGGATTTAAAAAAAAGAAAAAAAGAAATAACAGAAAGGTCCCTGGCATGGCGAGCATTGAGCAATTGAATTTCA